ATTGTCCCATATCATAGGTGCGCGCGTATCCCGAGACTTACGGTCTCCGTCCCCGATTATGGCTCCTGATTGAATCAATATTTTAGGTATTGGATTGAATCAATATTCCAGGTATTGGATTGAATCATAAAAATTAAAAGATTGAATTGAACCAAAAATTTTATTTACCATTGGATTGAATGCCTTTTTCTCTTTAAATAAAACCGTTATTTAAAAGGATTAAACATATATTGCAAGGATTTAATTTTGCTACAAACGGCTTGCCATAGATTGGCTATCTGTGTTTCAACACAAGATACTCGACATTATTTATGTGGTGTTTAATATGTGGTGTAGTGTTTGGTATGTTTCTTAATGACTTGACACGTCCGGTTGAGTGCTGTTTTTTTCACGACACTTGGTAGCAGAAAGACAGAATACTGTTGACAATGGTGGCTAATAGGAATCCATCCATTTTACTAAAATACTTGGTAATCAAAGCGATCATTCTTGCTAAAGAAGGACGAAGAGATAACACAAGAACAACTCACTGGTCTTATAAACTAGTGCCAGGCCCCTATAGGGAAATCATGTACGGTGTCCAGTCCCTTATTTGTAGCATTCTGCTCTAGAGAGTTATCGATCACCGGAGGGAAACCGCCAAGCAAAATGTAATTATGCCAAACTACACAACAGAGGTACTAAATTGGAAACCATGTAGACCTAGCTATGAGCTATAAATATTTGTTATCACACCGTAGTCAAACGGATTCGACACGGATACCTTTACTTCATTTAAACTCCTCTTAATAACACTTCATTTGAACTCCACTTAATAACACAGCACACCATACCCATTTAAAAACTGAGTTAATGTTAGTTGCGTCGAGACAGAAGATATCAAAATTTCTTGAAATTCCTTCTTTCAGTATAAATCACCATCCAGTGAAGCAGGTGTCATCTACGAAATCTCTTGGTGTGCACATCAATCAAAATATGAACTGGGAATGTCATATACAGAACATTTGCAAAAAGATTGTGTAATGCTCATTTGCATATTGCGTATCGCTAAGGACTATGGGATGATCTTATCAGCCAGCATGGCGATCTATGTGACTGGTGATTGAGAACGCATTAAAATCTTTCGTTTATCTTGTGCATCTTGAGTTAACACTGAAGGAAAACCTTACAATGGCGACGAGGATGGGATCGCTGTAATTGCAGACGAAAATCTTCGGGTTTGAAGCGCTGCACCAACCAAGAAAACACATCACCAATCGACTGTGTTTTCGATGTTTTCGGATGTCAATCGGATCCTTCATCGACCTCAGCACCTTCGCAGTCTTCAGGAACCCCTACCTACACTACGGCTACAGCGATCAACCTACCGACCTTTCCAGAGTTTGAGCTTCAACTGAGAGACACAGCACGTACCCGTATGTTAAGCGTTTGAACAACATGTTCACTGCGATGAGCATTACCCAAGCATCCCGAAAGAAAGCAAGGCTACTGCATTATGTTGGTAAAGAGAGCTGCGATGTGTTCGAAACTCTTACCGTAGCAGAACCGACCGAAGAGAGTGATGAATACAAAACTGCTGTTAAAGCATTCGCCGATTACTTCAAACCTCAGAATTGTGTTGATCATCACGTGTACATCTTTCGTCAGGAATCGCAAAATTCTGGTGAGAACATCACTGAGTTTTACACGCGTCTTCAACTGCTCGCACGCAAATGTGAGTTCGCCAATACCGAGTTGGAAATAAAGCGGCAAATAATTCAAGGCACTTCATCAGTTCGCCTGAGACGCAAAGCCATCGAGCAAAACCTCAACCTGAAGGGCCTGCTTAAGGCTGCTCGCTCAATGGGGACCGCACACGAGCAAACCAGCGAGATAGAGAAACAACAATCGCACGCAGTTGGCCGTAGCAACAACAAGACAAGTGGCGATCGAGAGGAGAGTTCCAATGGTCCACCCAAGCTTGGCTCTCGCAACACTAAATGTGGTCTATGTGGTGGAAGTTAACCACACCAAGGAACGTGTCCTGTTCAAGGCAAGAAGTGTATGAACTGTGGCAAATTAAATCACTTTTCTAAAGTATACCGCAGTAAACCCATCAATCATTCGAAAGCTACGCGCCCACGAAAACCTTCGAAAGGCAAGCACCGTGCCAGACTTGTGGATAGTAAAGGTCCTTCTGATGACGAAGCTCGACTTTAACCCCAGCAACTGCTGAAAGTGATAGTAGCGAAGAATACACCTTTAATACTGGCGCACAGAAACCCCAAACAGCCAAACCCATATTTCAGGTCAAGGTAATGGACACACCAATCTGCATAATGGCAGATCCAAGGGCGACGGTGAACATTTTGAGCAAGAAGGACTTTGAACAGTTATCCTTTAGACGCCTGAAAGCAGCGTTATCGACCAAGACCACTTTGGGATACTTCGACCCAAAGAAACCTACTTCCATCTTCGTCGATGGTAGCCCTATCAGTTTACAGCAGCGCCGTCTTAACCCAAGAGGAAGAGTCGAGTAAGGAAGTGATACCGCTGCACTATGCAAGTTGCCCGCTTACTCCCACTCAGGCAAGGTATCCCCAAATTGATCGTGAAGCTCTTTCAATTTACTGGGCAGTCAAGCGCTTTCACCTGTTTGTGTATGGCAAAGAGTTAAAGGTCATCACTGACCATAAGCCCTTGGTGTCTTTGTTCAACAACCCGTCCTCCAAACAATCTGCCAGGATCGAGCGCTGGCTCTTGGAGCTACAACAGTATCGTTTCACTGTAGAGTACCGCCCCGGTGCCTCCAACCCAGCCGGCTACGAGTCGAGACACCATTTTGAGATCCTGAATCTCACAGCTATGATGTAGAATCTGAGGAACACATTTCATTTGTCGCAAGGAGTGCTGTACCGAAAGCAGTGACATTGTCTGAGATAGAGTCTGTTACAGCAAAGGATCCAATGCTTCAAGCTATCATGTCTGCCGTCATCTGGCTGCTGGCACAAAGCCCCTCCTGATGTATCATTATCTGAACTGTCACGTTATGAGCAAGTGAAAGAGCAGTTAACATGTACAGACACTGTTTTGTTGAAATCTGATCGCCTTGTGGTACCTGCTACGTTGCAAGAACGAATTGTTGACATTGCTCATGAACGCCATCTGGACATAGTAAAGACAAAGACTCTTCTGCGAGAGAAGGTGTGGTTCCCATGCATGGACAAGATGGTAGAAACGAAGATCAAGGCTTGCTTACCGTGTCAAGTGGTTACCCCAGTTTACACAAGAGAACCGCTTCAGATGTCAGTATTACCTGACAGCCCTTTTGATGAAGTCAGTGTGGCCTTTGCGCATATGGATGGTCAGACCTTACTCCTAGTGGTTGATGACTACTCGAGATTTCCGTTCGTTGAACCAGTGTCATCTACGTCTGGTAAAGTATTGTAAAGCGCCATGGACAATTAATGGAAAATGGCGCTATATGAATGTATATTTATTTATTTATTTGTTTATTCCCAAGTTGCATCAGTTATTTTCCACATTTGGAGCTCCCCATGTAGTCAAATCTGATAATGGCCCGCCGTTTAATAGACAAGAATTTACAAAGTTTGCGTGTGTGCTGGGTTTTAAACTTCGAAAGATTACTCCCCTCTGGCCAAGGGCTAATCGAGAAGTTGAGAGATTTGTGAAAACGTTGAAGAAATGCATCAAAGCAGCCAAAGTAGAAGGGAGAAATTGGAGAAAGGAGCTGCAAGCCATTTTGCGCAACTATCGCACTAAGCCCCATGCAACCAATGGTGTTGCCCCCGCTGTACTGTTGCTGAAACGGCCAGTTCGCAACAAGCTACCACAAGCCAATCACATTGACCCTGTAGCTGAGATCGTACGCGAAGCGACTCCTCACAGAAGCTCAAGATGAAAGCTCATGATGACAACAAGGCCTATGTGAAACCTTGCAACAACTCCCCTGGCGAGGCTGTGCTGCTCAAGAGACCATTTTCAGTATCAAAAGGTGGAACTGTGTGTGATCCTACCCCCATGACTGTTGTGAGCAACAAGGGCAGTATGATCACAGCCGAAGGCGAGAATCGCACAGTCACAAGAAATTTGTCATTTTTCAAGAATGTGTACCAACCAGCAGTTAGCCATGGAAATGATGAGTCTCAGAACAGTGGCTTTGGCTCTTGACAATAGCAACAGCGTGAACCCGCAGGTAGCTTGGGCTAATCAAGGCGGGCCACATCTATATTTATATTAGCCCATTAATACATAAATAAGATTGTTATGCAACTACTTATAGAAGGATTTTCTTGCAGCAGAGCCAGGTTGTGGAATAGCCTATCCAGTGACCTTCATGCAAAAACATCTTTACATGATTTTAACCTTAACATACATCACCACAGTTTTGAATGAGTTTAAACACGGCATCCTTGGAAAGCAGCTCTTATAAGTATGTAGTTTAGGTCAGTTAGTTTAGTTAGGGATAACAAGTTGATCTTTTATCATTTTATAATCTTTGCTGAAGGATTTACCGTGTATAAATTAAGTTACCTTTACCATTACCATTACCCTTCTCAGAAACAAGAATAGAGCTAAGTAGCTTGGAAGCCAACAGTGAAAAGACAACAGCAAAATTGTCAGGAAACGTGCCCGGCTTCACAGACCTCACTGTTCCCTTGTGAAAGTAGACGTCTCCACACAGGCTATGTTTTGAACAAATCATATAGTTTTGATTTCCTCATGTTTGAACATGATGAACAGAGATTACTTTGTTTAAGGAAATCAAATGTTCATAACCACATGGTCATCAATATAGAGCAAGGTAAGGAGAGGATCAAAAAACAGTCAACCAATCAAGTTGTGAAATACCTGTACTAGTTGCAACTTGTAACAACTGTAGAAGTTGTGTGAATCTGATTTAAATGTACAGAAACAGAACTCAACTCATAATTAAATTTATGCTCATCATATGTAGACTACCAGTAGTTCGTCTTTCACTTAGTCCATCAAGCGAGACCATGAATAGACCGCAAGGAAAAACTGGTCGTGTAAAATCCGTGGGTCGAGAAGCGCTTCTTGCCAACAGGATTTCACGCAGCCATTTTTTCTCACGGTTCTCATTCGCGTCACACTCGACGGACAAAGCAAGACTAATTAGACAGAGACTACTCATAGTCTAGATGAAATGATAACTTTTGAACTACGGTGCAGAAAAAACTGCATGTAGTTAAATAAATAGCAATTTAATGAAAGCTAGTTCATTACCTCGGATATTTTTGTTGAATTCATTGTAGTATCTTCTAAAACTGCTCGAAGGACTGCATTTGCTATCTGTTCTGCCTTGCTGAGATCCCCATCTTTGATTGCATTATTAAACTCGCTGTCATTTGCTGTTATACGTTTGCTGATTTGATCTGGTCTCAAGAGCCCTAGATCTGTAAATGGTTCAACCTACAGAAACATTCGTGTGCAATATGTGACAACATACCGGTACTGGTTGTTAAAAGTGACAACCTGCCATTTAATATGCATGCAATGTGATGCAAGAGTTAATATAATCAAAGATATACTATACCTGCACAGACAGATGAACCGTTGGAGCAGACACGCCATTTGTATCAGTCACTGTGACATTGAACTTCACAGTATAATTCCAAGACAGCTTTCCAGATGGCAGCCATGAGTTAACACCATTACTAGAGCCGTAGTACAACAGCCCATGTAGACCATTCTGTAGTTGATATTGAAACAAGTAAGACAGGGGGATGCTGTGACTTTGCCAGTCACTACAGCTCAGGTTAAAAACAGTCTTCAGTGAGGTGCCATTTGATGGAGTGATGGAACATGTTCCCCCTGTAGGTGGTGATGAAGTGGAGATGTCGCGAYCACTCATTCCTTGTTGACCGTCCATAGTTTGAYCAAACACTYCCAGCCGGTAGTWCTTTCCGCCATRAAGGGAGTCCTCTTTGATTACAATACTGCTAGAATCGAGGGATGTAGTTGTGATAAGTTGCAAATCTTGTATTTTCCTCCAAACAGTGTCATTATTTGTGGCAGATGGGTATTGTTCATAAAGTATCCATTGGTATGAGGATATGTCGGAGCACTGCGGTCCATAGCACTGTGACTGGATACTTAGTTTAACTGATGGACTGATTTTAGGTTCACAATTTATTATACATCTGAAAATCAAATGAAAATAAATATTATTTCATGTATACTGCCTTTGAACAGCTTATATTCTAGGAAGGAGGAGAGACCTATCATATGAAACAAACAAACAATCTGAGTAATCGATAAAAGTGCCGTTTTTTGTCACTGACTTGTATATTTTAGCTAGACGTTTCGGTTAACTCTTAAGCCTTCATCAGTTGAAAAAACCGCTTGATGTTACGCGCGATTTAAAAACTTTTTAAAATTGAAACGTTGCGCATGCTGTATGCACGTGACTCGAGAGAATTTTAAGTGCATGCTAAGCACTTGTAGACTTCAGAGATGACGGCTATGGATCATTCCCAGCGTTCGGGTCTTTTACAGACATCCAAGCTTCTAGAAAAAGCCGCTGATGGTAATGTGCCTCATGTCCGACAACTTCAACGTTTTCAGAATCCATGTGATGATGACATTTGTGAACATGGCACACAAGTTTGGAGTTATGATCGAACATCAAGAGAGCCTTTTTGTGCTCGGAAACCTGCATATTCAGTGATCTTTCGGTCTGGCCATAGTATACAAACTCGCACTGACTGCAATTGATTCTGTACACTACTCCAGATGATGGGCTGTCGGTTTCATCCTGCTGTTTAAGTCGAGGAAAAAGACTGTTGATGGTTCTCTGCGGCTTGTAGGAAACTTGTAAACTTTGTTGCTTTAGTAAGTGACCAATTCTTTCGGAGACGCCCTTAACGTAAGGAAGTACTACAAAACCATATGTGGTAGGCTTAGTTGGTTTTGTTGACAGTGCTCTTTCACATTCGTTGATAAAGCGAGAGGGGTAGTTGTTCTCTCGAAGCACCGCTTTTACTCGTCACGTTTCCTCGCGTTTCCCTTTACTCGTCGAGGGAATGTTTCTCGAACGAAGGAGTAACGAGTTAACCACTGATCTTTTGTGGCAGAGGGGTGGTGAGAGAGAAAATCAAGGTAGCGGTCTGTATGTGTTGGCTTTCTGTAGACCTCCACTTGAACTCCACACGGCACGGCAGTTCCATCATCTGGAGTAGTGTAGAAAATCAATTGTAGTCAGTGTGATTTTCTATACTATGGCCAGACCGAAAGATCACTGAAGATATAGGTTTCCGAGCACAAAAAGGCTGTCTTGATGTTCGATCATAACTCCAAACTTGTGTGCCATGTTCACGAATGTCATCATCACATGGATTCTGAAAACGTTGAAGTCATCGGACATGAGGCACATTACCATCAGAGGCTTTTTCTAGAAGCTCGGATGTCTGTAAAAGACCCGAACGCTGGGAATGATCACATAGTCATCCCTGAAGTCTACAAGTGCTTAGCAAGCACTTAAAATTCTCTCGAGACACGCGCATACAGCACGCGCAACGTTTCAATTTTAAAAAGTTTTTAAATCGCGCGTAACATCAAGCGGTTTTTTCAACTGATGAAGGCTTAAGAGTTAGCCGAAACGTCTTGCTAAAATATACAAGTCAGTTACAAAAAACGGCACTATTATCGATTATGTCATCTCCTGACTACATTTACTCAATTTTTAAACACAATCTTTGAGTAACTGCACTTGTTTATTTCATGGCTACGTGCTAATAAGTGGCTCTTTCTTCTCATGGATGTCATGCTATTCTAACATTAGTATCAAGAATCTTGCCGGTTAGTGGCAAAAGAAGTTTCAAGGAAACGAAGAAATAATAACTAAAAGTACTTAAGTGATCCAAGGTACCAATTGCATCCAGAACCAGTGACAAGCATTGGTTTGGGATCACCAGTAACCCGTGAAAAATTGAAAAAAAAAAAAAATAATAATAACAAATAAATAAAGTAACTGAAAAATCTGTTAACATCCCATGTATGTCTCTTGTGTCTTCTGTAGCACGTGCTGTTAATTAATGCATCGCTCTCAGGTGTACAGTGGCATTTTAATAAATTAATGTTTTATTAATTATTCAATTCTGTTTATTTCTGAATAGCTAATTTATCTATCTATGCTCCAATTGGACTTAATAGCCACTTAGGTTATTTTGTTTGGTTTGAAGTCATGGTGTTATCTACTGGGCATCTGCCACTACCTGTACCATATAATAATGCAGAGAAGAGAATCAACAATATAGTTCTTAGTGTAAACTGCAGACTGTAGACCTCAGACCGGGGGTCAAATGCAGACTGCAGACCAGGGGGGAAATGACAGGGTTGATAAACAATGAAACAACTTTCATACCGTTGAGATATTTGAGGGGGATCCCCTTTTTTCAAGTGTATAACTTGATGATCACTTGAGTTGCGATGATCTTTTGTCACCACCAGTTTAACCACTAAGGTCGTCAGGTCCTGGAACATGGAAGAGGCAGTATTGATGGTAACTTCAAGTCCAGAATCATTCCCAATATAATGAACATTTGACTGGCTTATTCCTGTGAAGGAGTCTCTCAACACTGTCTGTAGGCCAGAATAGTTGCCTTTGATCTCACCATAATGCCAGGTGAAGTTCATCCTGGAGTAGTTACCAAGTCCAACAACCGGGTCATAGGAAAGTGATGCATTCATCGTGATGTTTTCGTTTTGTCCTCGGATTACTTCGGCACCACCATAGATGATAGCTATGAGGTTTGGTTTTCTTTGGATGGGCTTTCCATCTAAACACCATCAAATAACAGCTTTCATTAGTTTACACATATCGTATGTATTGTATCAAACATAAAGACACATACACCTGTACTGTAAACAAGGCACCAGAGTCAAGATCTAGCTATTGCAGCCTGCAAAGTTCTTGAAAACAGAAAAAAGCAAAATTGAAAAAGCAAATTTTTCGACTTACATAATTGAAACATATCTGAGAAAAGAGAATTAAAAACAAAATACAGACAAGCAAGAAGACAACAATATCTACTTTCAATTTAGGCTGTGTTGATAAGTATCACGCAGAAAATAATTCTGCAAGTACGCTGGGAAATTTTACTTGGGACTTCTATCTCTTATGGTGCTTTTTTAGGAGCAAAATATCAAGCGGATATCAGTAATGCTTTCTCTAATAAAATTGTTGTTTTACATCATGGATCAAGTTAAAAGTTGTAGAAATCAAATTTGAGTGTGAAAAAATAAGTTTTAAAGTGTCATCCATCGATGTTTTGGAGCATACATCGCTTTTGTGATACCGGTGATACTCACATATTTGGAGGGAGATTGCTTTACTATGTCAGATATCTAAAATGCACATCATAGATAAAAATGTCAATAAAACCACGGAAAAAATGCGCAGAATTGTAGTCATATTATGTAGTTTAAATTCTGCATACACTGTGATGAACAAAAACATATGAACTCATTGACTGAGTGGAATAGCCAGGCTGGCGCTTGCATTGAGGGACGTGAATATATTAGAATAGCCGAGGGCCAAATATCTTCCCGTCAGGTTCTGTGTGGCAGTAGGAGAAATGGAACGTTCATAATCTTAGTGTAATTTTACAACAAAGCTCAATCCTTACCTTGACTTACACTGCTTTCAAGTAATGACGAGCGTGATGCAGTAGCTCGTGATGTATTTATACTCGGTGTATTCATTGCACTTGTTGCTGAGATCCTCTGTGTCAATGTTGCTGGCAGCACACTGAGTAGTGTTGTCTGAGAGACTGAAAAGGATGATGAAATGGCTGAGGGCGCTGATATTAAAGGATGACTTGACGAGCCTGCAAAATTATGATCAGAACATTTCAAAAAATATATAATGTTTTAATTACAATTGGGATGTTGACTTCTTAGATCGCCTTATTATGATAGTCATTATTCCCATCACAAAATAACATGCAGAGTGAATGTTTTAGTTACTAATAACGCTTATGTCTATCTTGTATTCCCCTTCACTGCTAGTTACATTGTTTTAGTTGTATTATATTTTAGGTAATACCGTGTACCCATATATGGGAATACTGAAATAAATTGTTGTTGTTGTTGGCTCATGGTATATTTTCAGTCATTCAGGTTGGCTATTAACACAACTGATCAATGCAACTTACCAGCGCCGGCGTTACCACAATAGCGATGGTACGAACATGTCCCCTGTAACTCATACACGTAGTAAGAGTTGCAGTTCTTCACTTTAATGATGTTATTCCAATAACAGCAGTCGTGGAATACACTGTAACAGACTTGACGTGTCACCACTCCTTCAGCGACTGTCGGGTGTTTACCATTAAGCCAACCAGGAAACCTAGTACCGCAGCGATACGTAAGAACACATTTGTCCGGCATCTGATCCCCGGCAGCTCCTTGGAAACGATACCAACCCGGTACCAGGCTCTCATCGTTTCTGTTATGAGGCGGTTCTGCGTTTCCTTGAGCGCGGTCTGCTTCACTCAGGACTGTGTAATTTGTGCAACCATCCACTTCAAGTAAAACCATACCAGTTAGTTACAGCAAGAGAGGTTACAGTCATAAGAAAAAATAATAATAATTACCGATGTGATTCATTATTGTACGGTATCTGATCTATATTTGCTTATTCTTTTCTGTTTTGTCCAAAAATATTATATTTACCAATATCATTAGATAACCTTATATAGTTTTTTCGCTTCACTATTAATTTTGAGGAGTACTTTTTTCTCTTACTAATAAAAGGGTCGTAGAATCATTGCAGTCTTTTGTAAACACGAAAACATACTCTATTCTACTCTGCTGACCTCAGAAAACAAATGCTTAATAATCAGAATGAGGAAATGCAGCAAATTAAATTAAACAAAAGTATTGAATAATTTTCCAGCGTGAACGGCCGACTTTGGACAAATCCACTATCTTTCTAGATATTATACTTACCTCCGCGGGTAGGTGCTGAAAATAATCATAAAGTTTGGATTAAATTCAAACTCAAACGAAGTTGATCAATTCAGAAAAATTCGTAGTAAAACCCTCAAATCTTGATATTTGTTCTTAGATATCGTTCTACAGTGGAACCCCGTTAATCCAGTCACCAACGGACCACAAAAATCTGCCCGTATTAACGGGGTGACCGTATTAAAGGTGCTCTTTAAATAAGACAACGACCGACTGGGCTTAAGCTCGGGCCAGAATAAAGCGGCCGTAATAACGAGGTGACCAGGCCGTAATAACGGGGTGACCAGGCCGCATTAACGTGGTGACCGTATCAAACGGGGAGGCCGTGAGGCGAGGGTTCCATTGTAGATATTATGCCTAATCTGTTTTATAACAACTTGATAGGAAATCAGTCGCGACTGAAAAAAGGACTTGTTTGAAGATTATCATGACATGAATGTAGACAAGCCTATGTGGGTTATTCCTT